TTCTAGTTCTGATGATCCATGATTATAAATGAGAAAGTGCTTTGAAAGTCTAAAGGCACAAAGTAAATACTTGGATATTACTACAGAGAGGGCACATTCGGAGTTCTGTGAATGGGGACAGGACTCGCGTATTCACTACACCTCTGATCTGATGTGGGTCCTTGCTGAGCTGTAAGAAAATAACACAGAGACATCCCATTTTTATTTCCTGCCCATCAGGGTTAAGAAGGGCTGTGCTATGTCTCGACATTTGTGTTCCTCCAAAATCCGTATGTTGAAACCTAATCCCCAGTGCAATGGTATTAAGAGGTGGGGCCTCTAGGAGGTGATTGAGTCATGAGGGTAGAGCCCTCACGAATGGGACGAGAGCTCTTATGAAAGAGGACCGAGGGAGCTTGTTTGTCCTTTCTGCCATGTGAGCACACAGTAACAAGAGGCTGTCTATGGAGCAGAGCGTAAGCCCTCACCAGATGCTGAATCTGCTTGTGTCTTGATCTTGGACTTCCCAGCCTCCAAAACTGAGAGAAATAAATTTCTGTTGTTTATAAATTACACAGTCTAAGGTATTTTGTTATAGCAGCACAGACTAAAACAGGCGGTATGGCAGTTTTAACACATAGCTCTATATTCTTTGACTCTACTCCCATGAGAGTTGGGGTCTCTGTCCTCTAACTTTCATTCTGGGTGGGCTTCGGATTGCTTCCACCAATAGAAAAGGGCAGAAATGAAACTATGTGACTTAAAGCCTGGGTCAAAAAAGGCCATGTATATTATTCCTCAGGACCCTCACTCTGGGAAAAGCCAACAGCATGGAAGAGGTCTGATCACTCTGAGACCACCATGCTGAGAGGCCATGAGCAGCTTTCCAGCTGACAGCCAGCACCAGCCGCCAGCCAGGTGAATGAGTGGTCTTGGGTGGCTCATCATTTGGCCTGAGGTTAAATGTTGTGCTCACGGAGAGGCCTTCTCCGATCTCCTGTCTAGAGAAGGTTCCCTCTGGCAGCCTCCATTTTGCCTTTTTGTTTTACTCCATTGTCCTTTCCACACTTGCATTTATTTGATTGTTTACTTGTTTTAGTGCCTTGTCCACTGTTTGTCTCCCTAGTGCTTGGTGCATAGGTAGCATTTGATTCAGAGGGTTGTGTGTGGATACTGCTAATAACATAGCTCCCTGTACGTCCAGTGCTATGCTGAGCACGCCACATGCATTAATTCACGAACGTTTTAGGTGGTGGGATAGGCAAGGATTATCCCCGTATCTCAGGTAGGGAAAGTGAGGCCCAGAAAGGTTAGACGACTTGCCGGAGGCCAGATTGCCTGACTCCTTAACAGGCATTCCTCAAAAGCAGAAATGAAGAGTGATGCAGGGAGGTGTGTGGCAATGTCCTGCCAGGTCACTGTTCCTGAAGTCTCCATTCTCCTCCACCAGTTTTTTTACTGGGTAGCCCTTCTACATCCCTGCCTCGAGAAAGGGGAAGAACGGTCTGGACTCTCAAGGAAAGGAGCATCGATCTGCCTTCTTGCAGGGGAAACCTTCCTGGAGGCGGTCTTGGCCCCTTTAAATATCAAGATGACCTGGAGGCAGTGGTGCTGATGGTGGCAGGTGGCGGGGTGGTAGCCACTGGGATGCTGGAAGGCTGGCTCAGACTCTTCTCTGGGCTTCATTTTCATCAGAATTGGAGTCTGTGGCAGTGTGTGGATTCAAACCCATCTACACGCACTGTGCATGTGTGTGGGGGGGTGTTGCATAGTGCGATGTCATAAGAGTTGGGTTCCTTCTGAGTTATTTTTTTAACTTATAAATTACTCTAATATTTGAGAAGCCAAAAGCCATACATCTCTGTTGGGAAAATAGAATGGTTTGGTCAGGACCCTTGCCTCGGGTCTAGTTGGGTGTGGTTCAGCATATCCTTTGTAAGCAAATTGTGTGTTTGTGTGTGCGTGCGTGCGTGCGTGCGTGTGTGTGTGTGTGTGTGTGTGTGTGTGTGTCTGTGTGTGTGGAGTTAGTGTGCATGTGCACCAATGTATCTTTTTAGTTTTGTTGCTATTCTTGTGTTCTTTCATGTTTGTGAAGCAGGCTGGCTGACTCCCTGCCTTGGATGGACGCTGCTCTGAGCAGCCATGCTTTCCAACCTATGGCTTCCAAGGACCTGTTTGCTGGTTACCTAGTTCATAGACCTGCTTGTGAGGGGTCTGGTGACCCAGCCTGGTGTGTGAAGGTTTTGTGACCCAGTCTGTGAATGGGCTTGAGGGGTCAGTGAGCTCCAGACCCAGCCCTAGCTCGACAATCGGCCCAATCAGTAGGATTACCAGCAGGTAAAAGAGCTCGACAATTGGCAACGTTGGCAGGATTCCGACATCAGCCAAATAATCTCCTTGTCCGCATTTAAACATTTTTGGTAAAAAGTTAAAATAAAAAAAAAAAGAAAAAAATTAGATTTCTCTTGAATCTTGTCCAAGAAAGTACAAGTAACATTAAGAATGAGGTTCCAATTTTCTGATCATACAAAAAGTGCAGAAATGATCATGCCCATTTTCTGTTTCAGGGACCTGGCAATGGCTTAAAAATGCACAGGATCATGTCCAGATTGACCATGAATTCAAGGCCCTTCCTTTCTGGCCTCTTCTCCACTCCCACCCTTCAAACCCTTCACCATTCCTCAAATGTGCCCTTTCCCCAGCTTAACCTTGTTCCCATGCCCTTCCTCCTGTCCTCATCCTGGAGGCCTCTATGACCCAGTAAGACTCAGTTCAAATGTGCCCCTTATAAAGACTTGGCTGATCCCCCCATACTTGTTCTCTCCATTTTCTGAGTCCTCAGGGCAATATGTTAATATTTGCATTCGGGCTCCTGTTACGGGCCCTGGATGCATGTTTACGTGCAAGCCCCTCAAAGTAGATTTGGGTCTTCATATTAGTACAGCCTACCACAGTGCCCAGCACATAATAGATGCTCAGGAAAATGCTGGATATAGTTCAGGGCACTGTGGTTAAGTACCTGTGCTCTGAAGGAAGAGACCTCCGTCTGAATCCTACTGCTGCCTCTTCCTTCTTGTGATCCTCTCTGAGCCTCGGTGTCCTCATCTGTAAAATGGGGGACAAATGATGGCACCCACCTTATGGGGTATGGGGGTTGGGAAGATGAATGATGGATGTACAACACTCAGCACAATTTCTAGCCCCCGGCAAACACCCGGTAAATGGCAGCTATTACTAATATGATACTTGAGGTCTGTTCACCCACCTCCCAGGAGGAGGCCCTGGTATTTGGGTTGACCCTTTGTCCTAAAAGAGAACAAACAGGCTCTTAGAAAGGAGCCTGCTAGCAGCCAGGCTTGGTGAGGGCAGGGACAGGGACTTCCTGCTCTTGACAAGCCCCCAGTGCCTCCCCAGGGCCTTGTCCAACTCTCACTCCCCGCCCCCCAGGCCCTGCTGCCGCCTCTTCACTCAGTCTGCACACAAGATGTCTTACTCCCATTTTTTATTAAATCACACACAACTCAGGGCATCAGGCCCCATCAACTTCATTAGAAACCACCTGGGATTGTGGGAGAACTGGAGGAGGGAGTTGTGGGAAGACCTCTTCTCCCTAGTTTTACACTATAGGGATTAAAAACATCAGAAATCACCCCAAGGAGGCAGGAAGTAAACAATGCCAACAGAAGGGACAGGGAAGCAAAAGCCATCTGGAGGCTAGGAGGGTGCAGTGAAGGGGTGCCATGTTCTGAATGTTTGTGTCCCCCCAAAATTCATATGCTGGAATCCTCACCCCAAGGTGATGGTATTAGGGGGTGGGGCCTTTGGAGGTGACTGGGTCATAGGGTGGAGCTCTCACGAATGGGGTCAGTGCCCTTATAACGAGGCTGAAGGGGCTTGTTTGTGCTCCTACCTGTGAGGACACAGCGAGAAGGCAGTGTCTGTGGATCAGGAAATGGGCCCTCACCAGACACAGAATCTGCTGGTATCTTGATCTTGGACTTCCCAGCATCCAGAACAGTGAGAAACGCGTTCTGTTGTTTATAAACAACCCAGTCTATGGTATTCTGTTATAGGAGGCTGACAGATTAAGACTGGGACAAGTGGGTCCTTTCAGCCCCAGTCTCAGGGAAGAACATAAATGTTGGTTTATCACCTTCACAGGCTCAGAATCAGGTTACACACCTCCCTCGCAGGTATGCGGGGTTGGGGACAGGCACAGCTGGGTTCATAGCCTGGGTGGCAGGCTCTGAGCCTAGATCCTTGCTCCATCAACCCTGCCTTGGGATGAAGGCTTTGGGGGAGGCAGAGTTGGGAGAAGGGAGAAGCAACCCCCTGGCTCCACTTCAAGAAGGCTGTTACCTGAGCCTGGTGGCTGTGCCAGGAGCTGGAAGAGAAGGGCAGTTGCTCTTCAGGGGCAGAGGAGCCAGGCAGGTAAATCTGGTGTCAGGGCTTAGGGGAGGGTGTTAATGACCATGCTTAACTTCTAAGAGACGTGTGGTTCCCCCGTGCTCAAAAACTGGAAATATGGGGTGCAGTGGGCACATTCTCATGACTCACCCATTTCCAGGCCACCTCCCAGCTGCCTCTGGGGGTGCGAGGGCCAGTCATGGGTACAACTGACCCTTTGCTCCCTTCCATGGGGTCTGCTGGTCTTGGTGCAGAGAGAAGGAACACCTGCCTGTTTCCTCCCTGAGCCCAGCCCACCCTTTCCTCCCATGAAAGGCTGGCTTGTGGGGCCAAAGCTACACTGCCTGCCCAGAGCCCCAGAGGTGTGAGGTTTCCCAAGCCCCTTCAGTGGGCTGTGATGGGGTCACACCTCCATCACTCCTGAGTGTAAGCGAAGACATCATGCCTTTCCAACACTGTCCCTTAAAGGTTGCAGCCCATCCCAACCCCAGAAGTGACGTGGAGGTAGACAGGCCCTGGGAGGGGACAGGAAGGGGTGCTATTCCCAGTACAGTGCTCCCTAAGGGAGGAAAAAACACAGAAATAGGAAAAGAGGTAGAGACAGGTTCGGCAACTTTCTGGTATTACTTGAAAACACTGGTTTCTTTTCAACCACCACATTGTGATCAGGTCTGTAAAAATATCTACTCCACGCAATGCCATATCACCCTCTCCGGGTCCGCGGGGAGAGCCTTCACTGCTGTTCCAGCCCCACCTGAGTGTTCTCCCTGGGCCCGGGCCATCCCAGGGTCCCTGAGGGAGCTCACACCCCCACGGTGCTCTTCTCATCTGCTTTGGGGCTGGGGTCCTCCTGAATCTTCTTCATCTCCCAGCCCCTGACCCAGGTATAGGCGGAGGAGCCCCCCAGCACCATCATGTTGCTTGTCCACCAGAGGAAGCTCTTGGTCTCCTCGTAGTAGAGTACGGCCAGCACCGTCTGGGCACAGGCCTTGGCCGTGCCCGACACGTTGTGCGTCAGGGGACTGGTGAACTTGATCTGCAGACCTGTCACATAGCCGATGGCGAAGCCAAACAGGCCTCCCAGTGTCATCATGCCCCAGAAGTGGGCACTGCCCAGATGGGCAAAGTCGCGAAGGGTCTGCAGCTCCCCAAGCAGTAATAGCAAGGGCAGGAAGAGGACACAGGCATTGATGTTGTTGTAGAAGGTCAGGCGCCAGATGCTGCCATCCACCACCGGGAGCAGCTTCTTGGTGTAGATGGCATTGAGCGAGACGCAGAGGCTGGCCAGCACGCCAAAGAGGGTGCCCGTCAGAGACAGGGTACCCTCTGCCCCCTCCTGGTCCACACCAAGCCAGAAGCCACCTGCAGTGGGGAGAGGAGAAGAACGTCAGGCAGGAGAAGCAGGATAAGGAGGAAGAGGGACTGTCGTGGCTGCCCTCACCGGTCCATCCTCCCCAGGCCTCCTCCAGTCAATACATCCAGTCTACCTCGCGCAAAGCACTACAGGACGGCTGGGAAAGTCGCCCAGAAGCAGAAAGCCTCCTCACGGAGCTTACATTCTAGCAGAGGAGAAAACATTGAAAGAAACCATTCCCCAGTAAAATAGTACAGGGTGCTGTGAGAACCTGTAACTGGGCGACCGTGCTGGCCTGGGGCACCTGGAAAATAACATTTGAACTGAGTTCTGAAGGGTGAGTGCCACTTAGTGGTTAAGGTGACCCTGGGCAAGTGACTTAAGGTCTCTCAGCCTTGGCTTCCTCTTCCATAAAACGGGGAGCATAAAGTTAGAATCACATGTGGCTTGGAATCATTTGGGACAGTCACTCTTTCTGAGACACTAATCTTGTGTTGGCTCCTGCTCAAAGAGCCTTTGTGGCTCCCCATGCTCACTCCTGTACCTCTAGTCTCCCTGTCTCTCACCCTGGGGCCCAGTGTCCTTGATCATGCCCTCCTCCTTTCCAGGGGAATTCTATTCATTCTTACAGGTCAAAGCCGGCCTCTCCAGGTGGGAATCCTTTCCTGATAGCCCCAGCACCCAGCCCTCTTCCCGGCCTCCTACTGCCTGCACTTTTCTGCAAAGGGCTGCCAGGCACCTGCACGATGTGGAGTCTGCCTGACTGGGCAGCCTTGTGTCTGGCCAGTCTTGCTGTGGCCCAGCCATGAAGAAGTGCACGTCCTCTTCCTTCTGCCTAGAATGCCTCCTACTGCCTGCACTTTTCTGCAAAGGGCTGCCAGGCACCTGCACGATGTGGAGTCTGTCTGACTGGGCAGCCTTGTGTCTGGCCAGTCTTGCTGTGGCCCAGCCATGAAGAAGTGCACGTCCTCTTCCTTCTGCCTAGAACATTCTCTCCCTACTTCTTCCTCTACACCAGAGTTTCCACAGCACTTTCTATGTCTCCATCACAGGCCTTACCACTCTAGTGTAACTGTCATTTACTGCCATGCATCGTCCCCATGTCCTCCAGGAGTATACGAGCCAAGTCCATCTTTTCCAAACTTTTATCCCCAAAGCCTGGCACAGTGCCTGGCATATGCTTAGCCACCAATGAATAGCTGTTGAATTAACGAATGAATGGAGGTTGCCATGGAGGTGGTTGAGAGTATTAAAGGAGACAAGGCAGCTGCTACATTGCAGGCACCCAACACGCAGTACTCTCCTCTTTCTTGGCAGAGCCTTCACACAACAGGTACCCACAGACCTGCTTGGAGGGTAGGGAGGGCAAAGGGCTGTATCACCTGCTCAGCCGCTAGGCCAGAGCACCCCCAGCCCTCCTGAGTTCAGAAGGGACTGCAACCTCAAGGTTCCAGACCCCAGAGGGACACTCAGCCAGAAGGAGCTTTGAAAGGTACTATGAAACTGGGGGACAGGGAGGGGTGGCTTGGAGTAGTGGCCTGAGAACCATCTTCCCCCAGAAGGAGGAAGAGCGGCACACGGTGCAGATAAGGGGCCAAGTCCTGGGGCAGTGAGGAGCAGCGCCAGCCTCCTTGGCCCCTGCCCCAGTCAGGCCAGCAAGAAAATGCACTGCTCTCAGAAGCTATCTCACCATCAGCTGCTTGGATTTCTTTTGGGACTTGGGCTCAGTTTCCCTAGTGACTTTACCTTCCTGCAGGCAAATTCTCCCACCAGGAGGCCCCCTCCCACTCCTTCTGGCAGGCTTAACAGGTCCAAAGTGGAGATCCCTGGGGCATTTGGTGAGGACTGAGAGGAAGTGAGGCATACCAGCTCCCCTGGGTGGGGAGGCAGGGGGAGCAGGAGCAGCTGCGAGAGTTCTGCTAGGAAGGGGTCTTGGCATCTCCTCCCACTCTAACCTCGCCCTTCTCCCTTTTCCCCTCACGGGCCAAGAGCCCTAGATCCAGCAGTTGCCAAACGTTTTTTAGGACAGGTGGCATGGATCGGCCCCTTCCCCCCAACTGGTGCACCTAGCCTGGGACTCCGAGACACTAGCCAAGAACATACAGCCCAAATAAGACAAACTTTATGGCACCAGGAAAAACCTGAACAGGTTCACATAAAGAGTACATTCTTAGATGATAGAGTCTTAGGAAGACTCAAAAGAAATGGGATGCTGGAGGCTCTCTAGCCCAGTGTGCTGCCCAATAAAACATTTTGCAGTGATGGAAATGTTCTATTATCTGTGCTGTCCAATACAGTAGCCCCCAGCCACACGTGGCTACTGAGCACTTGAAATATGGCTACAGAAACACGTTATAACAACGAGGACTAAAGTCAATAAAATTGTATGGTACTAGGGATTTTTGTTAAGTAAGTAGATTTTAGCTGCTCTTGTTACACACTAAAAAGTAACTGAGATGATAGATATGTTAATGTCTTCACTATGGTAACCATTTTACTATCTCTATATATCCCATAACCTCAAGTTGTAAACCTAAAATATGCACAATAAAATTTATTTAAAAAAAACCCTGCAAATGAGGAACTGAATGTTTAATATTTCATTTAATTTAAATTAATTTAAATACACATGGCCAGTGGTTACTGTATTGTCTATTGCAGCTCTAACCTCCAGTAGACAAGAACAGGCAGAGTGGTTAGAAGCACAGGCCTATGAGTCCTGCCAATCTGGGTTTGCA